TTATCTCGCAATTGAAGTCAGCAATTGAAAATCGATACTATAGATAAAAAATGATACGGTATAAATATATATATAAATCATCAAAGAAAGGCAAATACAGTGTTCGAATAAAGGACAAAATAATACATCGTGTATCATAGCTCTCAACGAATGTAGTCCTGTAAATAAAATTAATAAAGAAATTGTGTAATAAAATGCCGCTGGCGGGACTCGAACCTGTGACCACTCGCTGTCCAGGCGAGCGTCATAACCATTAGACCACGGAGGCTTCATAGATTCAAATACCACCAAATCCATTACACAATATTTACGGCTAGAAACAAATAGTTGCATATAAATCAGGATAGCCGTTAACACTGTTAAATTATCATCAAAGAAAGGTAATACAGTGTTCGAATAAAGGACATAGTAATACATCGTGTAGCATAGCTCTGAACGAATGTAGTCCTATAAATAAAATGAACAAACTGTGTAATAAAATGCAACCTCTCGCTGTCAAGGCGAGCATCATAACTATTAAACCACGGAGGCTTCATGGTTGAACAGATTCAAATACCACCAGATACACTCTATTACACAATATTTACGGCTAGAAACAAATAGTTGCACATAATAAAAATCAAATAGAGTCATTCCATATGAATCCAACACAATTTTTTGCCCGACCCCCTTCAAATCGCCCAATATTTTGCATGCTGGGGGTTCTACCTGAGATAACCCCACAGTGAAATTTTTGGCTCCGCGCCAGCATTAGAGCAATTTGAAATTTTCATGAGATTTGGCTAAAAAACTCACCTTCTGACAGAGATAGTTTCACCGAGTTTCCAGGAAATCTGTTGATAGATTCTATGAATCTGGCACCATAGTATAGTGAAAATCAGGGGCCACGTGACCATTTTTCTGGGACCAAGGTTTCACTGCTGATTTAGCATTACTAGGGCATAAATAAGAAATTGAGCGAGGGAGAACCCCCAGAAAAAGGGCGGAACATATTTTTTTGGCGGCCATTTTCAAAATGGCGGCCAAAATTATGATATTGACTCATAACTTCACTTATATCCAATGAAAAAGGGCAAATCTAGAGTCTAACTATATGTTATTATGGTCACTGAGGCCTATGAAACAGGTTTCGAAAACGTAAAATGGCAGCCATATTGAAACTCAAGATGGCCGTTATAAAAATGGTAAAAAAAAATATTTTTCAGTATAATTCCACATTTCCTCTATGGAAAATGGTAAACAATAAACATAGTTTCAAAAAGCTAGGATGGTAGTCATTTTGAAATTCAAGATGGCCACAATAAATATCCTCAACAATGATGAAAAATGCTAAATTTGGTGTTTAAGCATATGTTATTGGCCTCTTTGAGTCCTATATACATGGTTTCATATATCTAGGATGGCAGTTATTTTGGAATTCAAATAAAAATCCATCGAAAATTGAATATTTTGGCATGTAACTCCACTTCTATTTGGTGAAAAACGCTAAATTTGGTGTCAAATTGTATGGTTTTGTGTCAAATTGTATGGTTTTGTGTCAACGGAGTTCAATAAACATGATTTCAAAAAGCTATGATGGCAACCATTTTGAAATTCAAGATGGCTGCCATGAAAAAATCAATATATAGTGAGACACAACATGTGATTATAGACACGAAATTGTTGCCATTTTAGCTACGAAAAAATTAAACAATTAACAAAATATTGATTTTCGACAATTTTCGTGGCGACCATCTTCACTTTTAAAATGGCAGCCATCCTACCTTCTTTGAAATCATGTTTATTGAACTCAATTGACTCAATAGCATATAATTTAACACCAAATTTAGCATTTATCATCAAATAGAAGTGGAATTACATACCAGAATATACATTTTTTGATGGTTTTTATCGCGGCAATCTTGAAATTCAGAATGGCTGTTATTCTAGATTTATGAAACCATGTATATCTTTAAACACCAAATTTAGCAGTTTTCTTCAAAGAGAAGTGGAATTACATACTAAAATATTCGATTTTTCAGGATATTTATGGCGGCCATCTTGAATTTCAAAATAACTACCATCCAAGCTTTTTGAAACTATGTTTATTGTATTAGTAGACCTGTTAAGTGAACCAATCCTTCAAATTGTGATAACATTCTGAAACTTGGCACAGTTATTCATTGAGGTATCAAAAACATGGAATGGAAGGGTTGCCCAAAATTTGGTCAGGGAAAAGCAGCCAGGGGAAAGTTATGAGTCAATATCATAATTTTGAAAATGGCCGCCAAAAAACTATGTTCCGCCATTTTTCTGGAGGTTATCCCTCGCTCAATTTTCTTATTTATACTCTAGTGATGCTAAATCAGCAGTGAAACCTTGGTCCCAGAAAAATGGTCACGGGGCCCCTGACTTTCACTATACTATGGTGCCAGTTTCATAGAATCTATCAGCATATTTCCTGGAAACTTAGTAAAACTATCAATACCTAGACACAGAATGTAGTCTAGAGCTAATACGTTTCATTTGCCCACAATGAAACTTTAGGGGCATCATGTGGGTTAAGTGTCCTAACTGAGGTGTGAATTTTCCAAAAATCGAGATATATGCTTGTGTGATATTTTGGGTCAAAGGTCAAGGTCACGTGACTTGACCTATATAATTCTCACTAGTCCGGGCTAGAGTTTCAAGAGAGATATCAGCAGTTGTCTGTCAGAAGGTGAGTTTTTTAGCCAAATCTCATGAAAATTTCTAATTGCTCTAACTCATCAGAAAATGCTGGCGCGGAGCCAAACATTTCACTGTGGGGTTATCTCAGGTATAACCCCCAACATGCAAAATATTGGGCGATTTGAAGGGGGTCGGGCAAAAAGTGTGCTGGATTCATTATGGAATGACTCAATAGCCGTTAACACTGTTAAATTATATATAAATCATCAAAGAAAGGTAAATACAGTGTTCGAATAAAGGACATAATAATGTAGTCCTGTAAATAAAATGAATAATGTCTGCATATTAAAATAATCACTAATAATAAGCTCAAAACAACAGAACAGAACTGATTTCCAAATGTCCATACGTTTTTACTTAACAATGTATAGGAAATTTATATATATAGGCCTATATATTATATACATATATAGGAATATATATAAGCATAATATACATATATAGGCATATACATAAGCATATATATAGGCCTATATATAGTCTAGGAAAGTGTTTTAGGCCTGCATATGTCTGCATATTAAAATAATCACTAATAATAAGCTCAAAGCAACTGAACAGAACTGATTTCCAAATGTCCATAAGTTTTTACTTAACAATGTATAGGAAATTTATATATAGGCCTATATAAAGGCCTGTATATATACCGTAGGCCTATATATACATAGGCATATAAGCATATACATATAAGCATATATATAGGCCTATATATAGTATTTCGTTGTTGTCTTCATTTATAATGAAAAAATTATTTATCAGAATATTTAAGTTACTTTGTTTTTATTTTTGGATAGCTTCATAGGTCAAATTTGGCCCGCGGGCCACCTATTAAGAACCACATATAAAACGTTATATACATATAACTTTATTTCAGCTAACTGATGCAGATTTGAATTGGAAGTTTCTGGAACTTGGGTGGATGCCTACGATGAGAAATGCAAAACAAAACTGGTTAGGGAAGTTAGGCCTGGTTAGGCATACCGTACTGAGGTCGTGATCCGTGGTGGAATATTTAGGAACAGTGTGACTACCGACTTGCATAAAAAGCCGGGGCTAAAACTTTGCCTGACTAGAAGTACAAACTTACATCATTTTTAAATCGAAACCTTGAGGTGTAGAAAGATAATAGCATCATCTTCATCGTCGTCATTCCTGCGTAAGTGCAGAAGAGTCTGAACACATCGTTATCGTATACGCTAGACATTTTATTGCTGATTTCAAGCTATGTAATACACTGTATGAATTTTCGGTGGACCGGAACGTGATCAGACTGCACCAGACTGCAAAAGCGTGACCGCTAAAAATATTGCATTCCAGCAGCTGATCGCAAGCTATTAATTTGGCTCAAAGCTCAACCGTCAGCAAACATAAAAGCATAGGGGCGCGGCGCGATCCCGACTTCTACAGATAACACCGAATTTTGCAATAAAATTGAAAGGTAACAGTTAAGTCTTTATAAGTCTTTTTTCTGTTTTCTTGTCACCTGCTTTTGTAACTGTTTTTGTCTGTTTACCTTGCGTGTTCCTTATAAGGTCACGACCTATAGGCTTTGTATGTTTCCTTCTTTTCGAAATAAAGTGATTTTATATACTGAAACTTCCAGACTTGACAACATATGAGTATAAAATAAAGCTCTAAAAATTCATATTATCTCTCTCATACAACTTTATTAAAAAATTTTAATACGTTTATGATATAAATAAAATACAAACAGGCATATTTATGTACCGCGCATTTTCCACTCTATGCTTCCAATATCATTCAAGGATTTTCTCCCAAAAATGACCAGTTTCACAATAATAACACCCGTCAAGCCGAAGACTATTCTCTTTCCGGAAATTTCATATCTGTATCTCATACGCCAATCAATTAAATATTCTGGTCCCAAAGCTTTGGAACTCCCTTGATGTAAGAAACTCAATTCACCCTCGATAACAGCTTTAAACTTGTACTTAAAAAAATGCTTTCAGTTGCCTGTAACCGGGCCTAATTTAAATCGATACTTGATAACTTGTCATTTCCGGGAATTCACCTTTTCCTCCTCTTTTTCACTCCCGTCCGTTACATTTTGGATTTTATCACTCCCATCACCACTATTATTTTTTTTATTTATATTTTATATTTATGTATTTATATATTTTTTCATTATATATATAGGCCCTATATATAGGCATATATATATATATATAGATTAAAAGGCAAAATACTGGAAAACAACAATGCTGTGGGAAACAATGGCTGGATCTCAGTAGAGATACAAAAATGATAAGCAACAGCTAAAAAGTAAACGAAAGTAAACAGCCAGAAATAGAACCAGAGCTTTCGGACAACACTAGTCCTTCCTCAGTGGCGAATCTATAGATGGAAGTTAAAGAACGCACTAATATTAAAAAGTTGGAACATGTTCCGAAAGGAAGTTAAAAATTATTATTTTTTAGATAATTAATCTATGGAGGCCATGCTATTCAATTGAATTAAATAGAATTGTGACTGATAAAACTGCTTACGAACCTGTTCATGTTAGTCACGTGTATATAAATTTTTAAATTTTTCTAATATTGCTAATTAATTTATAATATTTACTTTCGTATTTACTTTAGTATTTGGCAATCTTTAATTAATGTGTGTGCTTTTTTTTCCTATTATTTAATTTCAATCTTTTTATAAGTATAAATTGTAGGTTGAGGTTCACATCATTGCTGATGATAGTGACACTTTGTTGCTGTTGAATCTTCTTAGGAACTACTCTTTATTTCTTTTGTAAATTGTATTCTTTGTTTTGTTTTGTTTTGTTACTGTTTTTCTGAATAAATAATAAATAAATATATACATATATATATACTGTATATATATATATATATATATACTGTATATATATTTGACTGATTTTTAAAATGTCATTATTGATGAGTATTACTACTGCCATTTTCTTTTTCATTACTGTTCTATTATATTTACATATTAATTATTATACATACTGCCTTTTGCAGTTACTGTAATATATTTTTTTCTTTTATTGTCAATGTTTGTTTTTTCATTTATTGTGTTTTTGTTGAAATTGTTATGCCTCTTGTTGTTATTGTTAAAGTTTTTTATTAGCAGTATTATCATTATTATTACCAGTATATTACCTTTCAATTGTTGCTATTATTATTGTTGTTATTGTTATTATTTTTATTATTATTATTAAATGTTTAACTGGTTCTAACTTTCGGCAAACTGGGTTTCGGCAAATTGGATTATGGTTTTTGAGTAAGCAAACTGGCAGGGTTTCGACAATGTGGCCTAGATCCCTTTCCAGGCACATTCAAACATTCTGAACAAAAATAAAATTTTCTCATATAAATCACCTCATAACTATTTTCCCAAGGGTCCGAAGTTGGAAGAAGTCAATTCCGGGAGCAGGGGAGGAGCTGCACATTGTGATAGACGTTGGCAATGACTTCCATTGAGACAATTGAAAGATAAGAAAGTATAATACATACTCCAAGTATTGAAATACACGCCATCATCAATTGAAAGAAGTGTGTGAAACATGCAAATAGGCCTATTATGAATTTGCGGAGTTGACCGGGAGATTGCTTGCTTGCGGGAGTGCGAGAGGCCGTCCCGATTTCCGGGAGACTTCCTCGAGTTGTGGGAGACTTTTGACTTTGGACCCTTGTTTTCCGCCTCTTCCGCCCCCCCCCCCCCCCCATTAAGCATCGAGAATAGCTCATTTAAAAAGAAAAATTAATTACCAACCAATTTATGGATTTTTGTAGGCATAGTAAAATGTCTGTAAATCGATCAAAATATTATTTTTCGATCTGTTTCTTGGTGGAAGCTAATGATTTATGTGATTCTTTTAAATGAGCTATTCAATGATTAACTAAGGTCATGGGCCTGATTTTTTTGCGACTAAGAAAATTTGTGATTACCGGCCCGCCCTTGAATCCGCCACTGTACATTAATTTAATAAACAAATTTTGGGCAGTGGGTTAGTTTCACCATAACAACTCCCTGGTTTCACCATGGAGTGGTTTCACTTGGACCAACTTATGCAGTGTTAACGCTTAATTTTTTTTTTCAAAGAAAAGTTCAATTGGCCAAGAAAAGCGCAGCAGCAACAAAATAATAAAATCAAGTTAATTGATTGATAAGTATTATTATTATTATTATTATTATTATTATTATTATTATTATTATTATTATTATTATTATTATTATTATTTGTTGAATACGGTATTTAACGTTGGGGTAGTTAGTTTTTAGCAGTGGACTGGAATGGAAAATGAACATAGGGCCTACACATCTCACATTCCTTTGTCTTTAAATAGCTATGAGGTCCTATTGAAAGCCATACTCCCACGCCCTCTCCAACCCTCGTCTTTCCCCTAACTCATAAGCTATGGTGGTGGGGGAAATTAAAATACGACATCGTCGTTTTTATAAATCATTTTTCTTTCAACCCGACCACCCCAACAGCACACCCAGACACTAATTCATCAACTCAGTGTTTCCACTGATCATAGTCTATTCTTTATGCCTTTTACCTCTGCGATTAGCAAGTTGATTGGGGTTTTAGAATACAGATCGAAAAAAGTAGGTACCTGGTTGATAACGTTTCACCCTATTTAACCTTGCTGGCAACGTTCAGGTCATTCAGGGGGTGGTATAGTGCTTGATATAGGCCTAGCCTAGGCCTATATGTTGTTGAGAGGCGTAACATAATCTAGTTGAGTTTTTTCATAAATGTATCAATAGATACATTTTTTTTTATAGAACATGGTTCAATTAATGAGCAGTTATAAAAACAAAGAATAAATTGAAGCCCTAGATTAATTTTACGTATTACCAAAATTGAATAGCCTGTCACTCCCCGGAATGATTCCCGCAAGATGGCGACGTAGTGTAGAAGTTGGATACTACTGAGTGTAGCACATTCAAAACACCTATTTGTGTAAATACGTGATTAATTTTGAGTGTTAAAGTGCTAGACTACTCTATTAATATATCTCCACGATGGAACCAAGCGAAGAAAGTGTAAATGCCCTTGTTAATATGGGATTTTCTAACGTGGAGCAAGTTAGGCGGGCACTGAAATTAAGTCGTGACGACGTTAACGAAGCAGTGGCCATCCTGACCAGTGAACATACAACGACATCATTTGATACCCTCGATGATATAGAGATGAAGGATATGGACGGTAATCGTTCTAACGTCCATTACGGACCAGATCCACCCCCTCCTTCATATGACGAAGCTGTAGAACCAATTGAGGTAGGCTACAGTACTGTACACTCTACACTTTCATACATTATACAGAAAGAGTAAATTTACTTCCTCGAATTTGTGTGCAACATGAAAGGGTGGAAAGGCCTAGGCTAGGCCTAGGCCCTAGCCTAACATTTTGAGGGACCTCCAAGTCTTACCATCATACTGTATTACATAATCATAGGCCTTAACTCCTGCTCGAAGAATATATCTGTTGTGTGCATTTTGAGCTTTTTGCTCATTTTGAGGTGCTGATGTTGTTTCAATCTTATTTTACTGTGCACACACCGCAGGCGCAGTATGCAAACTGCACAAAATTTCATTCTTTCAACAACAATAGGCTAGGCTGAGGCCCGGCCTTATTGTAATATGAATGCCAGTCAAGTCAACCCCTTGTAAAGTTGCCCCCCCCCCACCCAAGCAAGTCGCCCTCACAAAGTTGCCTCCTAACCAAGTTTCCCCTACTACTACTAGCCTCCCCCACCAGGGATACGGTTATTAATTTTGTTTTATATTTGTAATTAAGATTACCAACTGTTAATAACTCTCTCCATATCTGCGCAATAATGCATTTGTCAGTTGTATGACGCACTATACGACAATCAGGAAAGGTGTGTCATGGTTGGGTCATTTACCGTGATATTTTGACGTAGGGCACTGTAAAAAAAAATTTAAAAAAACGTTTTATAATATTTTGAATTTTATACAATACTACATACTAATCAGAATCTAATAAGTAAAATCGGAGTCTTGGTCCTATAGAGTACTACTACTGGTATAAAATGATAGAACGTTATAAGACACAACCAGATTTACTCCTACATATAGCTGTTGTTTCACATGTCGTATGGCGGTTTTTTACAGAACGTCTAAAAACATCATGAAAAAATATTGTTCTCCCGTTTACATAGAGAAAGAATCATGTGAAACTAAAACCTTACAGTAATAGACTATGTACTTTAGTACTGTATCATGCGAAAATGAGTTGAATAATTTTCTTTTCTTCATAAAAAAAAAATCTTGTGAATAATGTTAACATCAGGAACAAAGCATACTCACTCGAGTGTGTATTATTTGCCACTCACATTCCACATGTTTTTCTATACAGTACTGTATGTATGTAAATTAATCCTGCCTGTCCTCGTTGACTTGAGGACTCTATTGTGTACTCTCTACATACTGTAGTTATGTAACCCGAAACTCAAAATTTCTTGTCGCGCAGTCATTATAAATTGCAGTTTTAGGAGTGTGTGGCGCAGGGTGTAAGGTGTTGGACTTCCGATTATGAGATCAAGAGTTCAAGACCGACGCTTGTTGCATTGCTTGTGTGTATGGGAAAGACACTTTACTTTACGTTTGCCTCTAAACCTACTGTAGAAGTATAAATGCGGGGGAGGTCATGCTGTTAACTTGCTTGTTAGTGACCTTGCTGTGACTGTTCCAGTCAATTAATAATAGCAACTTGATTTTATTATTTATTTATTTATTTATTTATGTCTACCTAAATGAGTGTATCTATACATGTAACAAACTTACCTTGAGTACATGACCTATGCAACCAATTGAACCATCATGGTGAAACACAGGTTGTGGATTCATAAAGTATTCATTCACAGTAAAGTCTTTATTATTAGCAGATCTGATGACTTGAAAACAGTATTCAGGTGAAATTTGATATCTTAAAATTTGTATGACAACCACCATTTTTCTGTAATTTATTTAATAAGTTGTAACTATCAGTTTTGGAACTTATTTTATATTTCTCTACAGAATGAAGAACCTAGCTCTTCATCAAGCAACCTCAACAAAGGAGATAATGATAGCATGGAATTTCCAACCACAAACCTATATGAGCTCGAAGGAAGAGTGTTTACAGAGCAGTGGTCTATACCATACAAAAAGGAAGAGTCCTTGGGAAAATGTCTGCTTGCTGCTACCAGACTTGCCAAAGAAGGTAGGTGTACTTGTTGAACACGACATAAACTTGTTGTAGTGCATATTCAGGTCTCTACTAATAAAAGAGTCAAGAGGTCTGGGGGTACCACCTGAGGCTCTGGTATACAGAACAAAATTGAGAATTTCATCATTTTGATGTTTTTAAATTTAAACAGAGAATGTTTTTGCTATCAGGGCAAGTGTGCTCAAAAGAAGAGGCACTGTTACAACATAACAATTGTTCTCTCAGTTATATACTTTACAATCCTGAGAAAATACTTATACACAGAATTTTTTGGCACAAAAAGGAGCAGTCAGTTTGTGAGGTCTGTCGTGTAAATGGTCTTTATTTGATGAACATCCAGTGGCGTAACAGTTATGAGCGCTAACGGGGCACCAGACTTTGGGGGCCCACGGGACATTCAACTGTAATATTTGTTTCATCAAGTCAGCCTTTTTAAGTAGTGGAATGCGTAAAAAACATTCAAGTTAACCCTTAAGACATAAAAAAAAAGCACTGAACTGGACGGGAATTGCCATGCACCCCACTGGGCTGTACCCAGACCCAGCACCCAGTGTAGTAGCTCTCGTAGAAGCCTTAACCAGGGACCTCTGTCAACATCTGATGATTTCAGTTAAACTTAACTTTTTTTGTATCCGTTACAGGAAAGCTTGAGCAGGATGATAATTGTGTTCGTTTTGTGGAGCGGTGTATGCCGGAGGCATTCCGCAAACTGATGACATCAAGCGCGGTCCAGCGATGGGGTCCTGAAATTCAAGACGGCATATACAATATGCTTCAGCTACTTGTAACATTAATTGCTACGAGGTTACAACACCAGCCAGTACCTACGGCTATGTTGCAGTCTCTGTTATTGGTGAGTGACACATTTTATTGTATATTGGTACACATTGACTGCCACACCTTTTTCCTAGTTTTCCTAGGCATAAATGTCACCATTATAATGAAATTCATTCCAATCAACTGTAATAAGACACAAACATACTGTATTTATTTTTACGTCATTACTTCTGGGTTTTTCCTGAACCTCCAGGGTTAGAGTTCACATTCTGGCGACCACTGCCAGCTAGTTTACAATAGTGGTATGTTTAGACAGGTGTGGCGCCCTAAGTGAAGCCTTCGGATGTGGACTCGCATATCTGGTGGCGAACATGTTAAATTGTAAGATGCTTGCCTTAAAATTCTAGGATCCGAGGATGAGATCCATTATTTGGAATAAAAAAATCACAAGCTTTGTTGTGATTTTGAACCCCAGGTTCATATTAAGTTAATGTATTCATATTAGTGAGTAAAGTTGTTGCCTCTTACTTCGTATCAGGCCTTCAATTTGGAGACAGAATTTCATATCAAGAATAGAATGAAGAAAGCAGACAAGCTACACTATGAGGAAATATTTGGTATCAACCAGACGTATGCTATCAGTCCACCCTACAACACATATAAGGACCCTTGCGGTTGGCTAGTGAACCTCATTAATAAGGTATAGTGCAAACTGTATACTGTATCTGACTTAGTTTATTAGCTGTTTTTATTGTAAGAACATAGGCTGATTTAGAGAGAGGGGATGGTCCTCTCAACATTTTTCAGTTTTAGTTTATAAACCACACTCACATCATGAGAGAACCACATTTCTATGGTAGCTTTTATTCAAATCATCCAAAATTTTTGGTAGCCCCGCCTCCCCCCACAAAAAAAAAATAAAATGAACATTTCTGGATCTGTCACTGAATAGTTATGTGACTAATATAATACTCATGTCTCAGTTTGCAGAGAATGGTGGGATTGAGCAGATCAAGGCATGTATCATTGAACCTTCTGAAGAAGTTGATGCTTGTGTAAGTAATAAAAGCCTTTTACTTCAATTGTAACCAGGCTAATGTACAACAATAGTCCATGTTATCTTCTGTGGTAATGGAATTGCACTACCTTGAGTAAAATCTGTAATAATTTGAGTATACCGGTTAATAAAGCAACAACTAAAATTACTGATTATAATTTATATTTTGTTATCATTGCAACAACCGCCATAGCCAATCTAAATTATATATTTAATCATACTTTTTTAGTGACCATTTTTAGAAATAGTATTGGAGGTTGTATTTTATAAATGCTGTGTATAGATGTTAGCATTAGATCTATCATTTATTATACAGTATAATGTGATTTTATATTTTACATATTGTAGACAATGACGGCCTTACTGCAGCCTCTCGGTGCCTGTGCTGAATACCTGAACCCCCTGCGAGTGTCCAAATTCCTCTTGCCAGTGAAGGCAAAGGTTAAGAAGTACGTTGAAGATGTTAGCGACAGTGAGCTCAAACAAAAGGTTTGTTGGTATTAGTACGATTGCATGAATTGGTATTCAAAATCTGCATCATGCATCAAATGTCATATTCTTAGTCCAAGAGTTCAAGATTCCTGCAAGGTCCCAGGAGCCTTCTGGAAATCCAGATGGCATCCGGCACTTCCACAAGAAAGCAAAAGTCTCCCAGAAACTAACCCATCTCCTGCAAATTCATTATATTTACATGTTTTTACTACTTACAGTATTTGTCTACTGGAAATAAGTAGACATTACGCAGTAAAATTAAGTTTAGATGTTAAGAAAGCTCATTTAACACTCAGATCGCCAGAGGCTTGAAAATATAGTATTAGCCACCGCCAGATTTTTTAGCGAATTTTAACACTTTTCCGAAGCTCGTTGAGAATGCCTATGTGATCAGACTGACATGTAATAAATAGTACAAGAACTACAAACATCTTAGCTTTACAGTGGTACCAAACACCTTATTTTTGTCACAATCTGCAATCCGTAACAGTAAAATGAATAGGACTCACTTTTGGAGATTTACGCAATTTCGCACAACAAAACTGAGATATTCGCGATTTTGTGAATGGACATCAACACTGCTACGCTCAATGTAAACATACACTGATGCCCGAAAGAGGCATCAACCAATGCTACCGTACATGGCATCGCTATGCTAGTCTAGGCCAGCTAAAAAAACATCACTATCGAAAGATTTAGTACATTGTGTAAATCATAAATTATACATCTTACATCATCTGATGACATACTTTCACCAGAATCCGCACAAATATCAGCGAATGCCTAGTGGCACTCATATGCATAGGCTTAGCCAGCGAGCCGTCCGGCCGTATTTTGGTCAGTCTACAATTATTTAGGACGGCCACTTTTACCGAGACGGCTTGGACGGCTTGGCCTAATCAGCTTGGCCTAGCCTAATTGGGCCTGGTCTACCTATTTATAAAATCCTTTATATTCTTCAAATCTATCGAATGTTACATTAAACTAAAGCTAAATCATATTTACGTTTGATAAAAGCAACAATTATTGATTGAATGTATGTTGTTTTCGTACCAATATTTGGTGGGGATTCCCAAAGATGGGTGTGGTCTGCCCATCGGCTCATGGCTTCCATTTTGGACAGCCTATTTCGTTTTTCTGGCTAAACCCTTGCTCATACAACACGTCATCAGAGCTAGCTGTGGCGCCAATGCGATTTAAAAAAAAAACATATTCAATACTTTCAAATGGTGAAATACTACAGTCCAGACTGAATATTCAGTAGTGTTGAAATTAATAGTACATTTCGGTAATCACCCCATCTATCGGATTCCTATAAAAAAAAACCTGAAACACAGAGATCTCTGTGTTTGGCAGTCAAGTGTTGCATTACCAAACATGGAGATCTCCGTATTTGGCAGACGCAGTGTTAACCAGATCTTTCGAACGTGGATTCTTCCAAATTAGGACCTCTGTTACGTAGCCCCTGTTACAGCTGTTTGCTAGTTTTGATGTAATTTGTTAGTTGCTTTACTTTGTTATTTTACAATGTTTTTGCCTTCTAGAAAGCAATAAGTATATGTGATCTTCTATCAACACTGAAAATCCTCTGTATTAATTTCTGGCCGGAGGATGTGAGGGAGGTAGACAATTTAAGACTGGATATAGCTCTAAGGATGCTTAAGTCACCACATTTTAATGCTAAAATGAATAGTCTTAAAGAGGTAAGAGATTCTTAACTGGGGATGATAATTATTTTGAATAATAATAATAATAATAATAATAATAATAATAATAATAATTGTCGACTTATATAGCGCATATTGTAGACTAACCTCTATGCGCTTTACATTATTACCCCCGGTCACTGTATCAAGCACATGGAACAACACTCATGCCCCATAATGTTGCAGCTGTAATCAGCGCATGGTTGTGTTTGAACCTACCAGGTACCCACTTGTACTCCTGGGTGGAGAGAGACAATCGTAGATAAAGTGCCTTGCCCAAGGACACAAGCGACTTGCACAGCGAGAGCTTCGAACCCCATACCTCAAGGTTGGGAGTCCAAGCCACAACCGATGCGCCAACCAATTTTATTTATTAAGTTAATCTGCCTGAAAGTTTGATATTGAAAGTATACTTTACTTGAATTGGACAATTAATGACAGTCCATTACCAGTGTTCTCCCAAAGCCGTTTTAACCATCATCCGGCCAACCAGTAAATATTTTGAGTTTGTAAAATAAAAAAATAATAATTAGGCCTAGGTAGCCTAGGCTGTCCCTCTTTCAGTAAATTAACATCATTCCAGTCTATGCTATATGCTATGTGTATTGTTCTTTCTTCAAGTCATTAATCCCCAGTCAAAAGGGGTAATGCCTTCACTGCGTGCATTACTGAATTTTTATGGACAATTTTACCAGTAAAAATTGTTCAATTGGGAGAACACTGCATTACAGTACCTCAATAGATGATAAACAGCATTCAAGAATATTTAATTAAGACAGACACAGCTTGTTAAGGTGATCGATTGTCTGGGGCGGATGCAGAATTTTGCGGTAGGGGTTGCGTGCCCCCACCATGGTTGCGGCTGAGGGAATAGAAAATTTTGAGAATAGGGACCTCTCAGGCGTGGATCCAGCATTTTAGCTCGGTTTCCATAGAATCGTTGACCCTATCAGCAACAGTCGTGACAGTTTTGGTTCACAGACGAATTTGGGTGCCTTCCCGATTGCTTAGGGTTGAGCTAGCAATGCACCCTGATTCATCTGCGTCTGCAACGCAATCGGAAAAGTTGAACCAGGTTCAACCTTCCCAAAAACTGTCGGCGACTGTCGCCAATAGGGTGAGCGATTCTGTAGAAACCGAGCTTTACCCTGAATATCGCACATATGGGGTCCTAGAGTGGGCAGGGTCATGGGAAGAGAATGTAATGTTTGCTTGTTCCGTCGCAAGAAGTCTATTTTAGACGTGGGGCGGTCTTGGGGTTCGGGGGGGGTTGGTGGGAGGTGGCTTGCGGTTGTCTTGGGGTTCTAGCTTTGGAAAGTTTTGTTTTCTAGATGCTGAGAAATGCGCTTAAGTGCATTAGGAGACTACTATTGATGAATGAATACACACTGAATTCATAGTTTTCCCCCATTTTACCATGGGCAATTAATAATTGCGATGATAAAGATGATGATGATGTGATAATGATAAGGAGGAGAAGGAGGTATCGTAGCAGGTGAAGACAGGCTCCCGTGCAAGGTTAATTAACAGGCCCTTTGATATAAGTGTCAACCGAATTCGTTGTCACATTTTCAATGCACACAATCGGACAACAGTAATTATCTATTTATATAATCAGTACATTCTTGACTGCTATGAAAATATCATATATCTAAAAAATTACATTATATGCATGCTCGGAAGTGGAAAGTTTAATCTAAAAGTTTGACATAAAAGTTTGATATATGTTTCATGTTGTTTGTTGAATGGTCTTTAATGATATATTCTAATATGACCACAACATAAGGAACAACACTTTGTACCTACAAAGTTTAGACCCATATACATTTATATTTCCTTAGGCCTAAATCATAAGGAAGTCTGCTCTATATCCAAATTTCAGGAAATTATACGTTCACTGACATGGGAATTTTGTTTTATGTTGTTTGTTGAATGGTCTTTAACAATATTACTAATATAACCACAATATAGGGAAGTCATAAAATGTTTAATAAATAGTACAGAGAATTATGATTATCAGGAAAAATAATAATGCATTTTTATTGTACCGCCACCAGCTGGGAAAGTAATTAAATATGCATAAATGTCTTCTGAGATTGGTTGCCAACATTTCTGTGGGACAACAGTAATTATTTACAATTTATATAATCAGTACATTCTTGACTCATGAAAATATCATACATCTAAAAAATGACGTAATATGCATGCTTGGAAGCGTAAAGTTTAACCTGAAAGTTTGATATATGTTTCATGTTGTTAGTTGAATGGTATTTAGTGATATTGTATTCTAATATGACCACAACCTAAGTTCAGACCCATATATATTTATATTTCCTTAGGCCTAAATCATAAGGAAGTCCGCTCTATATCCAAATTTCAGGAAATTATACGTTTTATGCATGCACCGATGTGGAAATTTTGTTATTATGTTGTTTGTTGAATGGTCTTGTTTAAAAATATTACAGTCTAATATGACCACAACATAAGGAAGTCCATTTTTTAAATGTTTAATAGATAGTACAGAGAATTATGATTGTTTATCAAACCAATTATACACATGCTAAATCCAATAAAAAAAAAAAACAAATAAAAAAATATATTTTCCGTGTATGCACCGACGTGGAAAGATTAACCTAATAATCTTGTTAATAATGCGGTTCTAAAATTAATCTTATGACCAAAACTTATAAGTTGTTTCTTCAGGAAAAATAATAATGCATTTTTATTGTACCGCCACCAGCTGGGAAAATAATTAATTATGCATAAATGTCTTCTGTGATTGGTTGATCAATATTAGCCTACTCCGTTTTTTTTATACTTTCGAAGACCATGCTGTAGGCCTACATAAAATGTGTCAAATCTAGCACTACAATTTTTACACTGTCTCGACTGCCAAGGCTTATGTAAGATATTTTGGCCTAGTGACTCCATAGCGTTCATCTACGCATAAAACTCGATACACAACTGACTCTGTTTCGCGAGGGGGAGTCTGTATGCATATTCATGCATATCAATTCTCCTAACTGACCTAAAATAGCACTCTCTATCATTTTTGCTGCAACTGTATGGGAAAAATACTCTCATACCTTACAACAATACAATACTACAATTATTTTACTTAATACAATTTAGAAGGGTGCGACCTGCACCCCCTCTGCATCCGCCCCAGATTGTACTTGTCTTCTCACCTCTGGAACAGTCTATTAATAATAATTTTGATCTAACACTATGTTTAGATTCGCAAAATGATTGATGAATCAACAACATCAAGACGAACAGCAATGGAAGAAGACGTGATTGCTGATTGGTTGGTTGATAATGGTATCCTCACTGTAGCCTTGGAAGGTAGACCTATTGCAGTATCCCTTACTTTGATTCTGGTATTAATAATATTTATTTAAATGAGGTCCCGTTCGAAAAGAAATATTGTTTTTACCAGCTTGGCCTTATATAGTTGTAAGAGCAACAGAATGGCAGGCCTAATCTTCACTTCTATGTTCTACTTCATGTACCCATAAAAGGAAATGATCATACAATTACAGAGGAAAGAATAAAATAGACAAATTTCTAATTTATCAGGTATTAACTTAAGCTGCAATTGCACTGAACTTTGGTATAACTGAACCGAGACGCTGGTTAATAGATCTACAATAACTAGTGCAATGCTAACAGCCCAGGAAACTTGTCTCAGGAAAACTTACTAAGACAGTTTGTTAGTTCAACTGAGTGGGTGCCAGTAGATCTGACCATGTTAGCTCTGCAGAGGAGAAAGTTCAATGTGAACACGTACCTTTGTTAAACTTCGAGAACCATTCAAGCGTTACTCAATGGATGATCTCACAGAATGGCACCTTTAATAGTTGATTTTCACAGGTTGGTTTAGTTTCACCAACTAAAAATATCCAAGTGTGGACAGCTGTAAAATTTACCCATTGGAATGTTACCTGCAGTCTCGGTAAAATCTTACATTTTTTAAAGTCCACTACGATTGCAAAACAATTCTGTCACCCATGCTGATTTGTAGTTGTTTGTTTAAGTATATAATTCCTCCCCTGCTCAATGATGGGCACTTTAGCAAGTGCCTCTCATCTTTGCTCTCTCTCTCCACATTCCTCAGATCTTGAGTACATCACTGTTATTGTTGTAAAATTAATTATATTGTAGTAAGTGTTTATATGAATATATTTTAATGTACATTGCTACCTTTGTGTTTTGTCTTCTAGGAAATATTGACCAATCGCAATACTGTGATCGTCTGAAAGGTATTGTTGAGTTTTTAGGAACTAAATTATCACTAGAGGAACTCACAAAGATATGGAAAATGCAGGTAAGATTTGTCATAGTTTAAAAAACTTTTTTGACATTATCTTGGAAGCTGTGGCTTAAATTATTTTCCAAAATTCACCCTTCTAGTAGTTCCTCCAGTTGTCTATGGAATGGCAAACTGGTAGCAATTGATATGACCTGATATAATTATAAATTTTAATGTGTTTTTTGTGTCAATTTTAAGCTTCTGGTATATATTATATAACTGAATGGTGTAAAGTTGACAAATTAATATCTTATCCTAGCAAAATGACCAACACATGACTGTAGTTGACAACATCCATTCCATCATGGCTGCTGCAGCTGTGTATCTCAACAGTGCTCAACTTGACCACCTATTCAGACTTATACAAAAGGTAAGATTTTGGGATAATGATGCTTTTTATTGTTGTTTTTAATGAAGTGTTGAAATTGACATATTGTGAATAGGTTTAATTATGCTTTTTTATTGTTTTATTGATTTGTATTTTCCTGATAAAAATTGTATAATAAAAAATATATATATATATAAATAAATAAAATAAATAAAAAATAAGTCAATAAGAAAAAAATAATAAAAGTAAATAATAAAATTGATTAAAATTTTATTTACATGTGAAATTGCTTTTTTAACTGAAAATTGAACCATACTTTTAAATTTTTTATGACTTTGTAAATTGTGTTTTAAATCGGAATGGTTGTTTAAATTGTGAATGCTTTGTACTTTTAATGTTTTTTTTTGTTGAAATTATACTTTTTAAATTTTTGTAAAGTGCATTGAGATGTTGTTTGATATGTTTGCGCTATATAAGAAATGCATTATTATTATTATTATTATTATTATTATTATTATTATTATTATTTATAGCCTATAATAAATTTCATACAGCACATACTTGATAATGATCATCTTTATAAAATTACACACTACAAACATATGTGGCCAAGAAAATCCAAACCAGTCACTTGTTGCAAAAATCGATTTTTATTTATTAATACAGTGATATAGTAAAATGAGAGCTATATAATGGTAAAAGAATCATTTAAATCCGACATTTCCTTAAGAAGTTATAAGCATTTAAACATACAGCTGTTTAAAGAAAAATATTTGAGAAATCAGCCTTCAAAGTTTATGATTTCTGGCATTTCTCAAGCTGAAACCATCACCATATCGTTAAAACTTGTTGTTTTTAACCTTGAAAATGGGGAAAATAACAGCATAGCATGATGTATAGATATTTAGAGGTTAGTTTAGTTCAATGAAATAGATTTTTTTAAATTTGACATTCCAGCATGTTTTGGCCATTATCTCTGAATGAGGATTTGCGACGAGTGCCTGGTTTGGCTTGTCTTTGCAACATATGCTTCAATACAGACAACAATCGACCTTAAAAAACGTATACCTTTTAACCACCAGTGGACCTCTTGTCCTTATGTAGCCTCATAATGCTTGGGTCAACAAAAGCTTACAGTTTGTTAATCTATAAAATGACCAACCTGTTCATTTGGAAACCAACCTATATGCTAATATATGCATGTCCAGCAAAGAACAAAGAAGTAAAGCATATTTGTTTCCTACATCATCTTGACTGAAACAACATAGATCTACGTTACCCTAATATTAATCCTGTGGTTGCAATCTTGGGGGTGGGGTGGGGGTTCTAAGAAGTGTTTCAGCTGATGTGTATCTGTTATAATCTATTATATATTATAGAGTTATCATTGATTCATTTACAGGCTTGGAAGGAAGAAAACGATCATATGAGGGAGAAATTACTAACTTTAATTGGTACTATTGGCCGTGAATCGAAGCAAGCAAAGACAACTAACAAAGTATTAGAGCTGTTATGGGACTTGGCTCATCTACCCGCAATCCCCACTAGTCATCTGGAGCACGCCCTCAAGGAACACCTAACAATTCTCAGCGAGTCATATTTAATTAATATGCAAGTGAAAAACAAGTACATCTCTAAATGTGTGGAAGATGTAAAGAGGGTAGGTGAAAGATTTTCGGATTTTCACAGATTTTACAAGTTACCTTAAATTTCAAATATGAGTAAAATTTAAATACATAAGCCATACCTGTCTCCTATTAAATTGTTTATTTTGTTTAATTTTGCCTCCATTTTGCTTAATGCTGTAAATGTTTTACAGAATGTTGTGGCTATTTTTACACCATTAACTATTAACCCAAGCCCTTGTATACAATATGATTTTAGGTGTGCACATATTAGGTAGGGCACCGTAGACATGTTTATTCAAAATATTTGGAAAGTGTCATCGACAATATGGTTGATCACTGTGGTTTGCTGGTGTGGCCTGTGCCGTCTCATCACCGGTGCATAGGATTACTTTTTACATCTTCAGCATGTTCCTGCGAATTGTAGTACATTTTTATTTGAATCTATATCATGTCTCCATCGATCAGAACAAAATGTGTATCAATAGCCAATATTACTTTACAACTGGTGTAACAATAGACACTGCCATTACAAAAACAAGTTTTAAAAACTACTTTTTAATAGGCAAAAAAAATGTTAGTTTTTAACATTGAATATTCTAAATCGACACTCTAAACTGTTACATTTCAGTGGAAATATAATTCAAGAATAGATAAAAATGAAAGTTCACAATTAATATTCCTTCCTTCAATCGCATATTAGTCCAAGAATTTTCATATATGTGGAATGACGGACGTTCCCAGAGTGTTAATCAAATTTAACAACTGACCAACATGAACTAGGTCAAGAATGTGCATCTTAGCTCAGTCAGCTAATCTGGTGGTAGCCACCGTGTGTGCACTGAACCGTGGAGATCTATAGGTCGCCGGTTCAATTTCACATCGTTTCCTCTCCTTGTGTCTCAGTTGGAGGGCTGAAATACAGTACAAGTTACAATAGTGCACCGTCTTTCGGATGAGACGTTTAAGCCATTGGTCCCGTGTGCATTTATGGCCCATGTGCACGTTAAAGAATGCAGTACTCTCTTCAGAAAAGTGTAGGGGATTGTCTCCCGGTGTACTGCCCAATCACCACAAGGACCCCACTGGAAATAAGTCTTCTTCTAGACTTTTGTGGGCTATCCTTGGTGTTTACACCGAATAAATCTAATTCAATCCAAATCCAGTCTAAAAAAATACATTTGTTCCACATACACAGTTGTTTACGTGCAGTTACGCTGTCTTTTTGTGGGACCTTGGTAACAAAGGAAGGGCTTAGCGGAAAGTAGCCATAATTGTTAATGTATTTTTCTTCTTTCTTTCTGGTAGGGAAGCTTGGTTGTACCTGCAATGCGACAGTTGCATTTAATTGCAAAAGGAAAGAACAACAAATATGATAAGGTATTTTTTCCAAATTATTAAAGATGTCAGATTGGTTGTTCTAGTGATTTCTATTTCCCAGCTTAAGGTAAGGTACGTTATTTTCTTCTTACCGTAGAGTATACCAACAGATTTGCACAAGAACCATGATATAATTAAACTAATTAGTCATAGTTTAATGAAGAGTCACAGAGCAGCTGTGAATGTATCTGGCGGCAACCAAGTGACTCCTACAATGCTTGTTGACGGCAGGTACACACATGCAGAGGTAAGCCTTGCATATAATCTAACAAATATTGTTTGAGAGCAGCATAGATCTGCTAAGCTGGCAGTAGCCACTGTGCATGTTGAACAGTGGAGGTCCATATTTAGCCTTTAGTATGTTTCAAAACCATCTTCTGCACTTGAGGGCTGAAATTCAAGTATAAATGTGTGCACCATCTTTAAAAAGTGATGTTTTAAGCCGTTGGTCCTGTGTGCAATAGGACCCATGTGCATGTTAAAGAACTAGTAATATAATAATAATAATAATAATAATTTATTCACTTATGTTGCGTAAATTCCATAAAAATATGTTTAAATGACGCATTACAGAATAAAAATGTCAATTAAAAATAGATTAAAATTGACATTTCAATATTAGAGTAAAACCATTAAAATTCCACAGAAAAATGATCAAAAGACGTATTACACAAAATTAAAAAGTCAACTAAATTGGATAAAAATTTACAATTCAATATTAAAATAAAACCATTAAAATTGACAAGTACAGGAAGTACAGTAGTAAATTATTTGTTAAAAACAATAGTGAAAAAATGTGTTTTCAATCTGTAGGCTACCGGCTTTCCTAATAAATGGTGGCATAACTTTTCACAACTTAGGTGCTGCATATTGAAATGCACGGTCACCTAGTGTGACTTTAGTGCGACAAACTGGATAACTTAAGATTGTGATGTGTATCATCATTGCTACACTCTTCAGAAAAGGGTAGGAGATTGTTTGCCATTGTACTGGTTAGTCAGCATCAGAGAGACCCACTGGAAATATATCATCGGATTATCATAGCTTATTCTTGGTGTTCACACCGAATATATCCAAATTAATCCAACCTCCAATTAGTAATATAGTCCTTAGTATTTAATTAATATATTCAGGATGCATTTAAACTGTCAGGAGGCATGCTGATGTTATTGGGCATGCTAATGCCATAATGAGGCATGTTGTGGTGAAATGGTTAAGTTGTCGCACAGGCCAGTATCGTGTAAATGAGCTATAAAATATGGGAGCTCAATGCCTAAAAATTCAAATTTGTTTTGTACTATAGATCAACAGTTTAATGTCTTATTAATCATGTCCCAAAGTATTAGTTCTGGAAGTAGTCAACAGATCGTTTATTTAACGTTATTTTGATAGTTAATTCTATTTAAAATGTATGTACAAATAACTTCGGAAGGCAATTACTCAAAATCATGTTTATCTTGACTCTGAGAGTGTTGTACTTTCATTTTCCAATAGCTTAGGCTTGAAATGTCCTATTTCAATGAATGACCCCTCATTTTAAAGATCACATATTAAGGTATATGAAAATACCAATAACTTGAATTTCAATTTTTGCTACAGCTTAGCCATTTTGCAACAACCTGCCTCAGCCATTTTGCCACAACATGCCTCATATGAGCATGCCCAAGAGAATAAGAAGTGAGCTGCATTACTTTCAATGGCAGGAATGAAATGTTACATCATCAGTAGGCATTGAGATAAATATTGGCTCACCCTAGACTTGTATAACAGCACTGTATACTTTTATACCAACCTCTGAAAATAAAATGGAACATAATGATAATATGATGATGATAAGGAGGATAACCATTAAATTTTGATGGTCAAGTTTGGCTACTATCTTTGTTACTATCTTTGTTTTGATAAAAAAAATTTATGATAAAGTATTTTAGACAAGCATTAGTAAAGTACATTGCATTTATTTCATACATAGGTATTGTTAGTATTTGCTTTCTAATTCTAAAAATGGATTTAGTGTTTTTAGCTATTTAATAAACTTTTGTTCATTTACAAATTTTTTTCATTAAATGTTTTCCTGTTTGTTTGACAACATTTAGCATGTGCAAGTTCATCTTGAGTTCCTAGCTTTTATCCTTGAGGTTGGTGTCCTGTATCTTCACTGGCATAGAGCTCGCGAGATATGGGAATGTCTCGTTAGCAATCATGATGCAATTGAATATGATAAAGAGGTGAGTAGATGTTTGTTTGATATTGCACCAATAGGTTGGTGTATGTTCAGAGGGCGCCCCCACTCATGCAGTCGAGTGTAGTGTTGGCAATGTAACACAACAAACATACATCCATTATCGTCTAGGTGTATCTTCTCCGCACTACCAGCCGTTTAGTCTGTGGTTCTACAGCGTGTAACAAAGAAGTAATAAACGCTAGAATGTTACCCCGATTTTGACGAGTGTAGTCATCCCTAGCACCCTCGGCAACGTCCAAGGGGACGAGTGTACTCGTTGCTGGCAGCCAACGTGTTAAACATAATGGAGTGAAGGTGTATCTTGGCGGTTTAGATGCAATGCTTTCCAATCGCAGGTCCTGGGTTCAAACCTTATCACTGCAGATTTTTTTTTCTCTAAGCTTCATGAAGAAACTATATTTATAAAGCATATTCCACAAGTGTACTTGCTGTTGGATGTGAAGATTATTTGGAACCAGCTGACTACCTTATAGTTTATTATTATTATACATATCACATCAGGGAGGTGACATTTCATATTTGCATAACTAATATTGTTAAACTTAACCTTTCACCCTTAGACCTGTTTTAATTGGTTTAAATCTGGGCTGAATGACCTGGAGGCTGAAACTCAGCAGCAACTCTTTACACAGAAGTTACTTAAGCAGGACCCTGCTTCACTGTCTCCCAAAAACTTTGATTGCTTAAAGGCATACTTTGAGAGTGTTAACCAAAACAACCAAGCATTAAGGAAAAGTGGCCCAAATTTGGTAAGAAGGGTAATTCATTGAGGGATGCTTTAATTAATATATTTGATAATTTTATAATTTAACAACTGTATGCTTGTGGTGATTGAAGTTTGCAATTGTACCCCTAGATTTTGGCCTGGTCAATAGTAGGCCTACTATGAAGTACACAAATACAGGCCAGCCCTGATTTTCAAACATAAACATTGTTTATGTGATTTGACCTTTGACTTAGACATACAGTTTTGAAACTATGACATGGCATTTAAGTTGTCTTTTTTATGTTATATATTATTAGGTTGTTGAAAAACTTGACCTATTGGGGTTAGAGTTCATGTGGCAGGTTGCATTAGAGAATCCAAATGAAGAAATTGCAAGCGTTGCCATTCATCAGTTAATGAAGATGTATTACACTGGATTGGCGATGAAACTCAAAAAGGTAACTCATTATATAAAAAAATACTTCCTTATAAATTCTCAGAGTGTGCAATGTTTCTGTGCCTTCATTTCTTAAAGAAGAAAAAAAAATCTTTTGCAGAATGCTTTATTGATGTAAAATCAACTACTTCATGTGTGAAAAGTGAAAAAAAAATAAAAAAATCTTCTAACTGTTGCCACACCCTCCCCCATATTTTCTAGAATACTGTGTTATCACCAACACACTGCATTTGATTTCATTGCCAGATTTTCAATTTAATTATTTTATACTTATCTCCACTTTTTGAGCTTGTTTGGCATATAACATGATAAGATACAGAAATAGTCTGAAGGATGGTGAAATGTAGGCAATATTATTATTTTACAGTTAAATGTGTATAGAGCATAATTATGCTTGTTTGTTTATACCTTTCCTTTAATTAGCCATAGGCCTTGCTTCTTTATTAATTCTACATTTGGGCTCCAGACTTTTTTTTTGTCATGGTGACTTTGCTGTTGCCGGGGGCCCCAAGGCACCTTGTCTGAATAAATAAAGAAATGAAATAACCTAATATTATGATGATTGCATAAAAGAAATTTGATTGCACTTACTTGTATTAAACACACATATAGTAATGCACTTCTTCGGGGACACCTCTTCATGTTTTTTTTTGTTTATTTTTTGTTTTTTTTGGCAGGATACTATTAGTGTCCACAAGAGGTTCATAGCTGAGTGTTACAAGCGACTTGAGGAGGCAACTGTTACGCTAGGTGGCTCAGCCATTGCCTATGCAATCTCCAAAGCAAATAAAGCTCTTACTGCAGCCACACTTCCAGATGTAGCTTCACTTCCAAGTCCATCCAGGTATATTATTTCCCACATTTTATTTTTTGGGTCCACACAAGGCGCTGACCCCCAGACCCTCACTCCTGTTCTTGTTACCAGAACTTTAAAAGCGTCCAGCATCGCCAGTTTTGAACAGACGTGCAGAAAATTTTGTATACGAACTACAGGTGATTTCCAACAAACGTTCATCGCCTCTTTTAAATTGGACCCTAGGGTTCCCCCCTACACCTACAAAACAAAACAGGTTTCAGCAAGGACTGTACATACATTACTGCCTTTGCCACTAATAGGACACATTGAATGGATGGCACTATCGGTTAAGGATGTGTTGTAAAGAACTTAAGGTTGTGAGTTTGTATCGCATCTTGGTATTTCAATTTTTTTTTTTCCAATTTTAAGAAATTTTATTTCTTTTCAATTTTAAGATATTTTAATTTTGTACAAAGGAACATTCTAAATAAGAATTTCTTTTGTACAAATAAACATTCTAATAATTAAAAAATTTCTGTCTTACTGGCTCTATAAAAAAAAACCCAATATAATAACTTGAGCCTGTACTGTATTTAAACGTGGAGGAACGCGCAAACCGGTGAGCGCTCGCTCTTGTTTATATAAGAAATAATGACTAGACTTGAGGGCACCAGCTGGGGAGGCCAGGTAAAATATGTGTTTGAAAGTGAAACATGGTGAGGCTGAGATGGAACGGACACTGGCCTATCTATAGGGGAAATATGGACCACCTGTGTGTGGGTTGAGTGACCCTGCTTCTAATTACTCACTGTTCGACACAAACATTTTGATAAAAATATATTTGAAAATAAATTTTAAAAATATGAATTAAGAGCTTGTTTCGTTGCTAAGTGATTATGAATATTTTTGATGACATTTTGCATAGATGTGTTCGATTATTAACAATTGAGCGACTTCTGAAGTTAGCCGAGACTTACGTGACGACAGTAGAGGACCAACACACGTGTACACGCACCATTCTGCCTCATGAAGCATCCTACCAAGGTCATCCAATCACTATACACGTGTCATGCGATATTCCAAAGATCGAGTTCACAATAGTAGTAAGTTACGCAAACAAGAGAATGAAATCAACAATCATTGTTATAATACATATAATTATTGTTAGTTTCTATCCTTATTTATGCTCATGCATATTTATATTTGTATTTAACAGCACACTGACAAATGTTTGATTGAGTATTTGCACTTTGTTTTAGTGTCATTCAAATGAGAGTTTACGGAGTGTTCGAACAAGAATAGCTGTACGTTTGAAAACCAACACAGACAATGTTCAGATTGCAGCCAATGACACTATGGTACGTTTTTTTTTTTGAGAATTAAACTAGAACCATTCTTCATTCAGCACCCACAATCACGTCCATGGATTTGTTCTCCAGAAAGCCTTTTCAGCTGTCAATTTTACCGGTAAAAATAACTGACCAACCAGTAAAAATTGTGTGTTGGTAGAATAAAAAAAGCACTTATTAGGCCTAGGTAGCCTAGGCTGGCCTTCTTTAAAAAATGAACATCATTCCACTGTTCCAGTCCAGGCCTAGGCTATGATTATATGTATTGTTGTTTTTTGAAACCATTGAACTCAACTTAAAAAGGCAATACCTCACTTGGCGTGCTTTAACTGGCTTTATATAGACAAATTTACCAGTTGGGAGAACACTCCATGGTCAGATTTAAGGGTGGGAATCTGATATTTACAGTACAGGAATGTTTGAACCTCAATATTTCTTTGATTCTCATGTACGTACATTCTCTGTATAGCTGCTGCCTTGTAAAGATCAGAAGTTGCTTCGCCAGTTGTCTTTTGAGGAAGAGCAGTTACTGAACGTCAAACAGACAATGGTTACCAGTATCCAGTACAATGCTAGAAATGACGAGGTATGCTCCACTGATTTTATTTTTATAAAGATTTGGTTTTTGAAGTCTGGAACACATGTGTGGCAGAAACTATGATTTTGGAGGTTTTGTGTATTATACACAGAAACTAAGGGTTTATTAAAATTCAGAAATTTCAGAGTTTTGGCAGTAGACACAGACAATCCAGAATAGGAGTAACTACATCGCAAACATAGCTTGCTATATACGTTGGTCATAGATTGCTGACATCGATGAATTTTGAATTGATTGATTATATTCTATTATATCTTTGCAGCAAAGTACTGTAAGCTTCCAGCCAAGAACAGCCTATGCAATGGAACTGGAGAGGTCGCTACCTGGTGTTGTTATGGCAACGGGTGGTCAAGTTTTTGAGATGCTCTATCAGCTGGCAGATTTAGATGAAACAAAGTGAGATAATAAGTTGTATCGCAGAATTTGTGTCCACAAAGTTCATTATAATCAACAAATTAGATTCACTTAGATTATTTATTTTTTGAAAATATGGAAATGTATTATTTTATGCTTTTATGAATATTTTTAAAAAATGATGCTGTTAATTGCTTGTTACATTCAGAAAATTGTTTTCTTCAGAATTACTCAGAGAGTACGGAATCTTCTCCGTCTTATTCCAACTGATCCATCAATAATTGAAGCTTTGGACAACATATGTCGCTATGTAAGTGTTTTAAATGCTAATGAAATTAAATTAAAACTGAATGTGTCAATCTGTCCATCATGCTGAGGCCTCAATGTCTTTAACGTTTTCAAAAAGTATAAGTTTATGTTGACAATGTTATTTGTGTTAGCCTTGCAGGATGTGAAAAGCTTAGCATTGCTATGTATTTTACACCAGTTTATTTCTGTTACAGAATGATGATGCTGAGAACAATGAAGGTTCTCCTGGCAAGCCCCCTAGACAGGTGCTTCAAGATCTCTTCACAACCTCTTCTCATTCTTCAATGTCAGCATTTAGGGTGCTCTACAATTTGGAGGTAAGTTCAGTAAAGAACATTGAAACATCAAACTGGGGATAATGAGGATGATGAAGATGGCAGTGGCAGTGATGCGTTAAACTTAAATAGCACTTCATGCTTCCAAGTGCCTGACATTAAATAATAATTGCTGATATGTAATGATCCTGTTGTTAATATTGGAGATGAGGTTGAAAAATAATTTAAAAAAAGTAAACTTTTATAAAATTTCAGGTGTTGGTTGATTACCAGTCAGTTAGGACAAGAACAGCTTTTTCTACACCAAAAAAATGTTTTGCCATTCTGTAATACCGTAAAACCTTTAATTGAAGCCCTAGGCTTATTTTTTTTTATGCGACCTGTGGATGGGCTTCTTTTCGAAGGTACATTTGCAGAGTAAAAGGGGGGGGGGGAAGTCAATTTGGAATGTTTTAAATATGCATTTAGTTCTAATATGCATTTAGTTCTAATATGCATTTAGTTCTAATTTTTATAATAATTTACCAATTGGGCTCCGGGACCGCAAAATAGAAAATACATTTAAACGTAAGTTAAAACAATATATTTTAAACTCTTAGCTGTTGTTTATTGCTATTATTGAGATATTCTTATTATTACATTGTTTGATTTTATTCTATATTATACTATATTATATTACTGTAAATTATATTATATTATGTTATATTATATTAGTCATTATAAATTAAACTTCTATTTTGAATTATGT